TTCTACTTCGTTCCAGGTAACATAGGGAACGTTTTCCGAAGCCATGTCTGGTAGCTTAAGGTTTACCTGTATTTTCGAGGAATAGAGGCTGTTGTAGATCGTAATGCAGTTCATTTTCGTACGATAGCGATCTGTGGTTGGTATTCCTCTGTCCTTTAGTGCTACCGAAATTTCGACCAGTTGAGCGACCAATCGCCATGGCAAGTAAGGGATGCTTTTTTTTGAGGATTGTTTTATTTTTGATACGACCTCTCTTGGCTTTGTTCTCCCGTATTCGTCATGTTTCTCCAGAATCTTCCGTATTTTTTTCACATAGCCATCAACATTCATTTTGGTTCTTCTAGCCGAGAGCTGCATCTCTAGGGGAATGGTTGCTTCCTCATCGTCATTGCTGAAGTGCTTGATGACCGAATAATAGTTTTGATGGTTTTGATAAGGTACTATTAGTCAGTACCGATATCTGAGTTAGCTTGCTTCAGGATCGAGTATTCACCGTTTTATGAGATCTTCTGTAGCGAAATCAATTGTGAGTGAATGCCGGAGTAGTCTGTCTGTCACCTGGTGCAAAGCCTGTTTATTGCAATGACTGGACCATTTCTTATCACCCGCCTTGTATCCGTCAGCACATTCGATTTGATTTGGGGTCGTTCCATATGGCCTTTACATTCACTGGAAATGTCCAAAGCAGCTTCTCGGCTTTTTAAAACATGATTTCCTGGTGTGCAGGCACTTTTGGCAAACGTTTTGAGAGGGGAGTCGCGTTTCTGTCTCTGGTTTCTTCCAAATTGGTTGATGAAACGTTCTGTTTCAGTTATATTACGGGAGGAAAAATCGCAATGCTCTCTGTTGGGCTGTTTTTTCGTTAGTAGAAAATTATACTGAAAAAATGACTTAGAAATAGTCTACATAAGCACAGTGCAGTTAGTCTATTGGATGATGACTGTTACCGACTTTTAGACGCATTTCTCTTCTGGAGCGTCATTAAAGGTAAGTTTGTGCAGACTTCAGCTAGTCTTGATATCGTATGCAGCCATAAGCGGCAAGCTTTTCGCCTATAGTAGTACCATACCTTTCAGGAGGCCCATGATATACGGACCAGAACATTGCGTTATATAGGATTAAACCGTTTGTGTTATGTTTAATGTAATGTATTACATAGTATATATCATGATATCTTCTATATAGCATGTCACAAACATAGGAACAACGTGTTGCGTTTCTAACTGCACATATTTCAGACTAAGCCTTGCCAGTCCGCCTTTGGAGTTACAGCATGACCTCAGTTATATTGAAATTGGAATTGGACCGAACTTGGT